CTTTACAATTTTAATTGCAGCTCTTTTGTTCTGTCGATATGATAAATTTTTATACCAAAAGTGAAAATTATGGAATGACAATCATATAGTACGTTTTAAGTCACAGAATCGATGAAATTCTTTTTCGATCTTTGAATGATGTCGTACTAAACTGGCTCATACACATCAATAACATAGATTTTGCTATTCTGTTAGTGTACTATAGGAAAAAGAAAAAAAAGACAAACGAACACATGTGTACATGAATACTGTTTCTTACAAATGTGTCGATGTTGATACTCGATTACGCATTGACGATGTTTGTCGTATTAACATTTGTTTTTCTATGTCTACTCATATTATATGTAAAACATAAATATTTTACTTCTCGTCGTTCAATTCCAAGCTTACCAACACATTTTTTATTTGGAAATTTACTTCAATCCGGGCTATTACGTGGAGCTTCTTTTCCAGAAGTTTATACATTGTTCAAAAATAAACTTGGTGATATATATGAAATTAAAGTTGGATTTTTACATGGAATAATCGTCAATGATATCGATGATGTGGAACATATTTTTACTCATCGACATATTTATGATCAAAGTGATTGGCTAGTGGACATCTTAGCTGTTTTTGCACCAGATAGTCTCATTACTTCGAAAGGTCAGATTTATTTCTTTGATTAATTTAAAGACTTTAATATTTGTCATGAATTGAAGGTGCTAAATTCAAGCGGCATGCTTCAATCACAATGCCCTTATTTCGTCATGGAAAAATTCTTTCAAATTTCGATTTGATTATTAATTGTACGGATGACCTTTTGAATAATTGGTATTCAAGTTCTTCAGACCATATTCATCGTGATATTTTACGACAATGTCAAAATCTTCTACTAGAAATTTTTGGATTCATTGGTTTTGACTATGATTTCGATACACTTCGTGGAACAAACAATAATGAACTTACACAAGCATTAAGAAGCTATGTCGGTGCGCTGGAATTAGGATTCTATTTACCAAATTTTTTCTTTAGTGCCTATTTGAAATTAAATCCGAAATGTCGACGAGCACGAACAACAATCAAACGATATTTATATCGAATGATGGAACAAGAATTAACTGAAACTTCAGAATCGAGAGCTCAACGAAAGAAAACATCATTAATTGCTTCATTAGTTGCTTCATTACAAACAGATGAACAAGCAGAAGAAAGAAAAAGTGAAGACAAGCGAAAAGGTAATTGCAATTGTATCTACTATTTCGAACGTACATCCGGCAGTTAAACTGATAAGAAAGAAAACAAAAATTTTATTAAATTTAATGCGTCAAAAAGTATCAAAGAGACTTCTCGGAATTTTGATATTAGAGTTAACGAGTTTTAGTATTTGTGTTTTTATTGTCAGGTCTAATACAACGTGAAATATTAGGAGAAATGCTTATGTTTCTTATCGCTGGTTTTGAAACAACATCCACTGCCTTGGCATGGGCGATTCATCTTCTTAGTAAACATCCGGAAGTACAACAGAAGATTAAGGCAGAACTGATAAATGAAAAAGTTGATCATGATTTGATATTAGATCGTCTTGATTCACTTGTCTATTTGGATTGTGTTATCAAAGAAATCTTACGTTTCTGTCCACCTGTCGCTTCAGCAGCTCGAACATTAACTATGGATGATCGTTTACCAAAGAGTGGTATTCAATTGTACAAAGGTGATCACATAATTATTCCGACATGCATCCTTTCAAGAGATCCACGACATTGGTCGATCGATCCAGAACTATTCTATCCAGAAAGATTTCTAGGTGCAGACAAGAATCATAATCCTTATGCTTTTCTTTCATTTGGTAGTGGTCACCGTCAATGTATTGGACAAGATTTGGCACGATTCGAACTTAAAGTTATTGTAGCTAGACTAATGCAACGTGTTACATTTAGCGATGGTGGTCCTGAAGTGAATGCTGGCGGACATTTACAAGGATTGACTGTTATGCCGAAATATATTGGCGCTAAAATTAAGTTTTCTTCAAAAATTTAAATAAAATCTCACTTTTAATCGAACGTTGAAATGTAATGAGTTAATCAAGGCGAAAAAAATTAACTCATCTCGTCGAGGGTGTGAGCTGGAATGTGTGTAGATTTGAATTTTATATTCATCCACATTCACTTTTTAAAATAGTGAACAAGGAAGGAAGTTATGGTACCATGCAACTTTTATTTAATCTAATTTTAAAGTGTTAGGCATTTTGATGAGTACATTTCCATCAATGACTGTTAAAAGAAACTATAAATTTTATTTCAAAAAAGTCTAATCTTGCAACTCAAATGTAAATATATCTTAGTCAGTTAAAACTATGACAGCAAAAGTTTTTCTACGCTTTCTAATGGTGCCGAGTTCTTTTGTATATCAAAATATGAGCTTGACAGCTTTTAAACTGCTAGTGAATGTTCCTATATTAGTATATACACTATCTAAACAAAATTTATAACTAACGAACCATTATTAGAAACAGTATAAATAATTTGAACACAGTGAACAAAACTGAAACTGTTTCAAAGATCAAATAGTAGAAGGACAAAAACATAGAAATAACATCATAAGAACAATTACAGAATAAAGTGTGCGCATCTGTGCAGGTATGGATAGGGCTGAAGAGTTTGCTCATACCGACACCCTATAGAATATATTAAAGAGCTTCATTATATATTTGAAATCGAATCCATGGCATCTGAAATCCAACTGATTTCTTCTCTGACGAACAGAATATATACAGATGATTGATCATTTGCTTGGAATAAAGTTTTTCAACCTTGGTTTGAAACAAAGATAGAAAGTGTAATATAACATAAGTAGGTATGTATCCGATTGAGTAGCAATGAAATTATATTAAGTAATGCTGGTCAAGTTAAGATGATGTTGGAAATTAAGCAGCTGGAGAGTTAGACATAAACGAGTGAAATGATTAATTGTCTATAAAAAAAAAAAAGTCAAGTATCTATGAGAATCTATTACGTAGTGTTTGAGATTGAATAGTTAGAAAGCAAAGTATATACAATTGAAATAAATCGCGATATATAGAAAAAAAAACAGCTATGAATAAGTTTAAAGCAAATCTCTTTTGAAAATGAAAAAGTATAACTAATAATAAATAAAAGAAAAATTCATTTATATTTACATGTTATTTGTCTGACTTTAATTTATGATGAATTATCTCATCGAGCTATGAAACGCAACAAGATTGAATTCAAATAAATAATTCTCAATATCAAATTAAATTTAAAAATCTTATTATGTCAAATATCTAGTATTTTAGATTAAGTAAGAACTGGATGGTATAATGTCAACAACAATGAGCAGCTCAGCTATGCAAGGAAATATTCAAGAGAATGTTTTTGCAGTTTCACGTCAAATCATACAATTTGGAGTTACTCTATGACAATAATAGAATATGGCGATTCCAACAAGAGTCACGATATAATAGAATATTTACGTAGCCTGATGCCCAAATTTAATTTGTGTTCTAGATCTAAGCCATATCATAACCATAGCCTTCAAATCCAAATTCTCTTCATGATTTGTTGCCTTTCTAGTGAAAATCAAAGCATTGAAACGTTCGATGGTTCAGAAAGAGATTTTTGTTCCCCTTGATTACACTAATACTTGTCTTTTGATAAGATGATGTCAATTCTCTTACACATTACTCTTACTTTAGTCATCCCATTAATATTTCACTTTTATCTTCGCTTCAATGATATATCTATTCAGATATCTTCTTGATTTTCCATTAGGTCTCCTTTCTCTCTATCATCGTATATAATATATAAGGGTAACCAGAAAAGAAGCTTGATTCATGGTTTTCGATTGTAAAGAAATAAACATAAGTATGATTTCTATCTGTACTGCGTATCTTCGATCGAGAATCGTCACAGTAATGTAGACAAAAAAAATTAAATACTACTTCTGTAAAATTCAGTTGCATTTATGATCAAGTTTTTATCGACTTGGGACCGAAAAACGTTTTGCATTAAAATTTTGTTGATTTCTGAGGCAAAACTTTTTATTTTATGATGATTGTACGGTTATGAAGAATGATTGGCAAGGTTTTTCTACTGCTTTGAGCTTGTAACTTAGGATCGAGACTATTTTTTTTCACTTGTATTTTTATACACCAGATTTGTTTTGAGAGATGGATATAGTTATATTCAGATAGATACTTTAATTAAGACATTTTTTTATCTCAGAAGTACCATCTTCAGAAGGTACAATTCAAGTGTCAAAAAAGATAATTCGATGGAAAGAGTTTTTCAAATGTCAATATAATTAAAGTAGACATCAGATTGAAATGGATTAAAAATCTATTATAATCATCTCATAAAAAATTAGAACCGAAATGATAAAAATTGCACGGAGACTGGTTGATTTATTGTAAACACAAATTAACTCAAATCTTATGATTATAATCTATTTTAAACTGGTTTATTCTGGATGAAATTCTTTAAGTTATTTCTGAACGAACTTGAGCACAATTTTTATAGAAAAAAATTTCTTTTTCTCCTGATTGTTTTTTATTGGTCTCTCAAGACCAATCTTTGAGATTTTACGTGAATTTCTTTCATCCGTTTGTAGTACTCGACGAGAACTTTAAACCTATATGAGTTCGACTTCCATACATTGTATATTTTGGAAGATCACACACTAGAGCCCGTCGGGTCCAGAATTTTTGGACCCGGACCGGACCCGGACCCTGGCCCAGGATTTTGGACCCGGACCCGGACCCGATCATTTAAAATTTTTCTACCCGGATCCGGACCCGGACCCGTTTACAGGTTGCTGGACCCGGACCCGGACCCGGTCGCTTAAATTTTTTGGATCCAAACACAATGACAAGTCAGTTTAGACAGTATAGTCAAGAAGGGTTTTGTTGTTTTTTATCTATTTTCTAAATACATTTGATCTCTTCTTTGTATAAAACGAACAAAACTTTAAAAAAATTCAAAATAAATTGTATGGATCAAAGTTTTCTTCAGACCTGGATCCGGTTAAAGCAAAATTTTCAGACCCGGACCCGGTCAAAATAAAATTTTTGGACCCGGACCCGGCCAAAGTAAAATTTTTGGACCCGGACCCGGACCCGGATCCGTGCGGGTCCGGGTAGGGTCCGGGTCCAGGTCCTACCCGACGGGGTCTATCACACACTCCTATAATCATGATCTTGTAGAAGGTTTGCTGAACAATAGAAACTATGAAGAGAGCTAAGATTTTTAACAAAGTGCTGCATCAGATTTCTTCATAGACGAAACTGAAACATTCTAACGTAATCTATTCATGAAATTTCGAAATACAAAATAGAAAACAAATGACTATTTTACGTATAGATCAACTTGTGAAATATTTTTCCATTTAAGCTCATTTTTTAAAGTTTAATACAGAATTATGATATCTAGTCACAATAAAAATTCCAAGTTCAATGCGTATATCATCGATGCGTAATAGATGTCATAAAAGTCATTAAAAAGTATATGATGATGATGCATTCAAAAAAATTTAACAAAATAATATTATTCTAAACGGTTTGCGTCGAAATTTTGACAATCTGTTCCTCACCGATATATCTTAAACCTGATGACCTTGATTGTACAAGTTCGGTCGTAGTTTATACAGATTGACTCCTAAAATTTTTGTTTTTCTTCATCGAAATAATATTAAATAAAATTGCTTGTCTAAATAAACTAAAACAAAGAAAATAATAAAAGAATTATTGAATTAGAAAAGAATAGAAAAATAAAAATAACTTTGTTCAAAAAAATACCTATCAAGTAACAAACATAAATATGGATCAGTGTTCATAGACCTATTGAAATAATTATCTAAGTATAAGTATGGTGCATTCAGTTGTTCAAAATTCCGATATAATTGAATTCGAAATTTGATTCCTTTAAAATTCATGGTCATATTAATAATAATCATTATCATGATAATATATTAATAATTTATCCAAGAAGAAAAATGGAATTTCTTTTAGTTTTGTCACGTTTTCTTATGGATCTTATTTTTTATATTTAGGTTTGTCGAAGGAGATGAACAAACATTTTTTGGTGATTCGACAATCCTGTTTGCTCATATTATCATCAATGACTAACATCCACTTATGCAGAATTGCAATAAAAGTTCATAATCATCAAGTACTTATTCAGAACACACAGACTAATAAATCTATGCTATAACAAACAGGTAAGATAATCATAAACATTATTTATATGAACATATTTGAAAACATAACGAATGCGATTAAACTATTGTTTGTTTTGTCACAAGTTGTTTATTATTTTCATATTCAAGAGAAATCAACTGGTCAATATTTAACTTATGTTAGATGCAAAATAAAAAACAGTTAATGAAAAGCATATTGAGAATAAAGAACTATGCAAATAAAGACGATCATCAAAATTTTTATTAACTAATTCTTAATCGAATTCTGTAGTAAATATTCAATTAATAGTGACAACAAGCTGAAAATGAATTTAATCAATATTTTATTATTTCGTTTCGGATTCTGATAGTAATATCATAGTTACTTCTTTCGGATAGAAAGAATGAAAAATTTGAAAAAAAAAGAGATAGGACTCTGCTGCTTAAGCGGATTGATTTTGTTGATAAAATGCCTCCATGTACGTTTAAGTTCTCTTTTTTTCTATCACTATTCATTTTTCTTGTTCTTCTCCTTTTTTGTACTCTTTTTCTCTTTTTTTTCGTTTCTATGTAATTCAAAACATTACATCATAGCTTCGTGTCATACTGATGATATTGTGTTTACATCGTCTAGATTTTACTGTATTTCGACATTATCTATACATATCCTATGTAAGCGCGCTTGCAACAGTAATAATAAATAGCAAAGTTTTTAAAAAAGGTTTGATCAGTTTAAAAGCATTCTCGAATTTCTCTCGAACACCAGCATTGTGCTCCATTTGTCTTTATTGCACAACACTTTGCTATGTAATTCAAAGGTAGAAAAAGAGAAAGAGAATAGCAATCTA